CTTCTAAAGCTGGTAAGAAGCTAGTTTCTGAATATTTGTGATTTAGGCTTTGGAAGTAGCATAAGAAGTGTGTAGAGAAGAGACTGTGAACAGACTGTGATTTGTGTTATGAGTTAGAGAGAGAGAAAGTGATTAGCCTCACAACTATATGTAGGTGAGCGCAAGTTAAGAGAGTGGGAGGGTAACTGGATACAAATCTCTCAGCAATTTGAGAGTATATTTCAGATATTCAGTACTGATATCAGAAATCTTGGGGCATATCAGGTAAACTTTCACTTAGGAAACATGGGATTGAGTATGACTGAAAAATTACAACAGTATACAGAAGCAATCACTACCAGCTTTTTGAGATTCCAGTTATTGAGATTTAAGAAATGTTCCATTTTGATCCCCATAAAATGATTCCATCCAATATGTCAGGGACTTTTATTTAGGTCTTCTAATACCTATATATAGTGCCTTCTAAACTCCTTGATCCATTTGATTTGCATTTTCCCTCTCAATTTCATTAGTCGTTTAAAAAAAACCTCTCATTTTATTAATTCAATTGTTCTATCATTTTCTATCCTATTTACTTCTATTCTGAGCTCTGTAGTTTCTCTTTAGAAAAAAATTATATTTTGTACTATTCCTTTCCTCCTTTTCCAGTGGCAGATAAAATATGCTAAACCCTACATCAAAAGGTCTTCAAGTTGTTCTATATTCCAATTCTATACTACAGAAGTTAGGAATATGCAAGAACTAAAAGAATCTACCTGACTGAACTTTTGGTTCATATTTCTCCATCTTGTCTAGAAAAACAGAATGATCCTATTGAACGCCATGCTGAAATTAACACACACACACACACACACACACACACACACACACAGAGTACATATGTATATACTCCACATGTGTATCTATGTATACACATATGCATACAAACGTGAATATGTATGCACATATTTCTCTAACCAACCTGTTTAGTAGCCTTCTTCATGAAAGAAATTAGACTAATTTTATATGATTTGTTCTTACTGAACCATGTCCCATTGATCATCACTTCTTTTTCTAAGGGTTTCCAAACCATCTGTTTGATTTTAGAATTTTGCTGATCCCTGCTGCCAAGCTTAAGGTCCTTTTTTTTTTTTCCAGCACCAATTGACTTTCTAATTTTGAAAACGGAGACAATAATTACCCATCTTTGATCTTCTATAATCTCTTTCCCCGTAATTCTTCAAAATGTTACTAAGGGTAGTTTTGTGCTCATACCTGTAAGTTGTTTCAGTATTCTGGGTTGTAATCAGTCTGGGTTAAGAGGACTGAATTAATTTAAAGCAAAATACTGAACATGACTCTGTTTCTAAGAGCAAAGTTGTTTTGAAAATATTCTCACATGTGACATTGGACTGTGACCGCCTTGAAAGCAGAGCCTGTCTTTTGCTTTTTTTTTTTTTGCATCCCTTCACACAGTGCCTGGCACATAGTAGTATTTAATAAATGTTTCTTGACTTACTGAAAGTGATGATACAAACTAGTTACAAAAATATTTGGCTGTGCTGTATTTGCTCTTTGTATTCACCACAGAGGCTCAAAGATGAGACTGTTACTGACGGCAACTAAAAAGGCTGAGAGTATGTTGTAGTTCAGGCAAAATAACAGTACAGGAGACAAACAATTTCAAAGGTTTGCATCTTGGGCAGTTATCTGAATGATATTACAGCAAGGTTTCATACAATGTCATGACAAGGCCAGGCTATAAATACACTTAAGGTTTTACTATAAAACAACATTTTTCAAGGGAACTATTGTGTTGGATGCACCTAAACATCACTGTTGATCTTGAAAAATAATGCCATAATAATGATCAGTGTGTGTTCACGCTAATTTCTTATTTTCTTTCATCTTTCCTTTCAGAGTACATTGAGGAAGGGGGCAAGGAAACTAGTGATCTGATTGGAAACTACACTTTTGCTACTATACTCTCTGTGCATACAGCTTACCAGGATCTAGGCTAAGTCAGTTACCTTTTCTGCACTTATGTTTAGCTAACTATTAAATTTAAAGGTTAACTTTTGGAAAAAAGAGATTCAAATTTTTTTTTTAATGAGGATGGTATATAATTATTATTACCATAAAGATAAAAATATAGAACTGATCTAAGAAATTGTAACTGATTAAACCCCTTTCTATTCCTCTCTTCCATCCTCCTCCCTCAACTAAAAGGCTAAACTTAAATACTATCAAATTAAGACAGTCATTCAGTATTGTCCTATCGGTCCCTTGCATCTTTGAAAACAGAAACTCAAACAGTGAGGTATCTCTCTGGGGTCTGATACTAAGTGCTACATACCTCTTTCCTCCTCAACACCAGGGATATGAAAATGCTAAATTATAAAATGTGTCCTCTCTACATGTACCCTTTGGTATATGTCAAATACTACCATTAGCTTTTGCCTTAGGAGACAAACTTTAAAATGTGATCTGTCAAATACTTATGATAAGACCAAGGCAAATAGTAATTTCTAAACACATGTTCTTTCTGGAGTAACTAGGTTTAGGGTCAAAGGGAGTTCAGCAAAACAAAGGTAGCCAGATTGTGCAGTGGATAAAGTGCTGGGCCTGGAGTTCCTAAGTTCAAGAAGACCTAAGTTCAAATCTGGCCTTGGTCACTTATTTGTTTTGTAACCCTGTTTGCCTCAGTTTCCTCATCTATAAAATAAGCTGGAGAAGGTAATGGCAAATCACTCCAGAAAAAATCCCAAGTGGGGTCACAAAGAGTCAGTCACAACTGAAATGACTGAACAACCATAGCAAAACAAAGAATGGTGGGTTAGAGAATGAGGAAGGTACGACACACAATCTGACAGGGAATGTGCTTATTGCCCTTTCTGTCAGTTTTCAGAAAGGTCTTTGAACCTGAACCCTTAGCTCAGCGGCTTTCTGGGGCTACAAAAGTCATTGCATCCCTGTCTCTATATTGATTTGCCTGTTCACTAAATCATATGACCAGGAAGTGCTTGAGTGTAGAGGACTAGGCATAGTTAGCTATACTATCATAAGTTCTATGCAAGCATACATTTCTGGAAACTGGAAGAAAGTAGAACCATCACTTAGGCAGTAGATTCTCTGGCCTACCAGCTGGGGTCACCTTCTTCATGTCATTTACACCCTATGTTTCACTGGTCTTCGTTATGACAAGCTCATTTCCACTCTAAAGTATACCCTCTTCAGCCCTTATACTCCTGCCTCCCTGATGAAAACCAAAAGACATAAATAACAACAAAATGATATCCACACACCTTAGATGGGTACATCCCTATCCAGGACACCATGGTAACAACTTAGCCAGAAAGTTATAGCAAAGGAATGAATCTAGATAAGTTTATACCAGAAAAGACAAAGGATTTTTAATTTTTTAGAATTCTGTTCATGTGACTTCATTATTTTTTAAACAACTGTCTTCATTATAGTTGAGGATCAATGAGTTTGTTTGTTATCTTATCCTTGACTTTCACTGTATGAAGCCATTCTCTGCCTAGACTATCACATACTGCCAATGTTAATAAAGACATAATGAATGACTTAAACTAACAAATTATCACTTGTCAAAAGAGAATTGCAAACTAATATCTAATTCATGATTTTGCTAATGACTCTTCCCTATTGCTGCATGAAATTCCACTCAGGAGACTTACAACGGTATCTCTGAAAAGTGCAGTTGCTCATATACAAAGATGATGTTGATGACTTCACCATGGGTACAGTATATGCTTTTAGTTGTTTTTTCCTGCAGAAGATGTAAACTTGCTTTACTCAACTGACATTACCACATGGACTCCAAAAGAATGAATTTATTGGAGAGCTAGATAATATAGCCTGTGACCATATAACAGAACTAATAATCAAAGGCTGAGCTTGCCAGCATGGCTACATTGTTACACTGTTGAGAAAACCCTACATATTGGCACAAAAACTTGCTACTCTACCTTGCTAAAAAGAAAACGGTCACAGTTTGTACTAAATTAGATTCATGACAAACCCTGTAATGAAAATCATCTCCACCCTAAGGATCTGGTCAGTCCTTCTGACAGCATGGTCATTCTTTAATTTAAAAAAAAGGCATATAAAAGAATGAATGTACTTTTTGAAAGGTGAAATGGAGGAAGGGAATAAGCATTTATTAAGGGCCTACTATGTGCTAAACATTGTGCTAAATGTTTACAAGTATTATTTCATTTGCTCCTCCCAATAACCCAGAAGGTAGGTGCTATTATTATTCCTGCTTCACAGTTGAGGAAACTGAAGCTGAAGTCAAGTGCCTTGTGTAGGGTAACGCGGTTACTAAGCTTTGAGACTGCATTTGAACTCAGGTCTTCCTTACCCCAAGCTCAGCACTTATTCACTGTACCATCTAGTTGCCTCATTCTACCTAACACTTATCAGATTCGCAAAGTTGACAAAAAGCAAAAAAAAGACAAATGCTGGAGGGGCTGTGGGAAAACAAGCAAATTAAAGCTCTTTTGGTGAAACTGTGAACTGGTTTAGCCATTCTGAAAAGTAATTTAGAACTATGCATAAAAACCTAGCTATTAAACTATTAAACCCTTTGACTCATTGATGCCACTACTAGATCTGCATTCCAAAGAGATCAGAGAAAGAGGAAAAGGACCCATACACACAGAAATATTCATACTGCTCTTTTTGTGGTGTTCCTTAGAGAAGAGCAGATTTAATTTAAAGCAAATATCATATTATCAAAAATAAATTTATTTTTATACACAAATTTCAATGAACAAATGAACAAATCTAAACACTTCAACTGAGGTAAATTTGGTGTCAGCAGTGAAGCAGCTAGTCAGTTCTAAAAGAAAAAGCCAAGCATCTGTGAGCACTGAGAATGTACATATACTGCTCAAATAAGACCCTTAAGTGCTATACAGGTTAGTTTGGAGGCACTCTCTCAAACTTATGATACTAACAAGGCAATAAAAATAAAAAACAAATTCATACAATACCTTTTTCCCATGCTGCTGCTCAGAGGATCTGCTAGAGTCCTACTTGCAGGACATTTTCTACGTGCCAACTTCTTGGTGCTGCTGCTATCATTAGGTTGCTCATTCTCCCTCTTTGGGGTCATACTTCCTTTGCTGTTCAAGTCCCTTAGTACATTGTAATTAATTTTACTTGAGATTTTCTTTTGTTCCAACATCTTTTCAATGGCTTCTCCTGCAGTGCTGGCCTGAATTGGCTCCCGTTTTTTGGAAGACTTCTTTGGCTTAATTGAAACATAAAAACAGTGATTTGGACAAGATATAAATAACTGTAAATATACTAGCAATCAAGAGTTGTGTTGATGACATCCTTTCAACAGGTCCTAATAAATCAAGTGACTAGACATTCCAAACAGTAAGGTAATTCAAATTGTAGGTCACAGGGCCAAAGGTGCAGATTCAAACTAATGAAAAATCATTGACAATCCTCTTGGTACTTCTAATAATTATCTAGGCAAAATACATATTAAATAATTATATTCTACCTAAAACTGCCTCCCACTAAAAAGAAAGAAGATTAAAAAATGAGCAACTGAAAAGTTATTATGGAATTCATGTGCTAAAATTAATTTTTTTCAAGTGTAAATGGATGTAAATGTATTTATAATTAGTTTTGTTGGCATTTAAAGTTAAGCTCATAAAAACCCCAATTTAAAAACAGATAAATAAACTGCCCCAGGATAAATTAATTTTGCATCAATAACCAAAACCACTAATGCTGTTGGAAGCAAAAGGCTGTTCCACTTTTGGTTGAAACTAATATTTAGTTCCACCTCACCTACTCTACTAATGTACCTATCACTAGACAGATGTTTTGTTGTTCGATCGTTCAGTCATGTTTGTCTCTTCAGGACTCCATGGACCACAGCACACCTGGCCCACCACAATCTCTCAAAATCTGTCCAAGTTCATGTTCATCCTTTCCATGACACTATCCATTCATCTCATCTTCTGCTGTCCCCTTTTCCTTTTGCCTCCAATCTCTCCCAATGAGTGCTGTCTTCTCATTATGTGGCCAAAATATTGAAGCTTTGGCTTCAAGTATTTGACCTTCCAGTGAATAGCCTGAATTAATTTTTTAAAATATTGACCGATTTGACTTCCTTGCTGTCCACGCGACTCTCAAAAGCCTTTTTTTAGCACCACAATTTGAAAGTATTGATTCTGTGGCACTCAGTTTTTCTTATAGTCCAAGTCTAATAGCCATATGTTGTTATTGTCAATAGATAAGTAGGAACAAAAAACACTCAGTGTGGGAAGGAAAGGCTGCATACCCATATCAGTAGGCTTAGAGGGGGCCAGCATGGCTTCAGGTAAGAATGGTACAAGCACCAACCCCAGCAGCTCTCCCAGCATTCATTATATCAGGTGAAGTGCTTTTAGCATAGCATCATCAGCATACTAGAAAAAGATTTAATATCTTAAAAAGTATGTGACAGGCATCTATTGTCCTGATCAACAACTCTCGTCCCAATGAAACTTCTTTGGCCATTTCACCTACGTGTGGCATATCCATCCACAGCCTATTCATTTTATGCAGTTATTCTTCTTGCTATTAGAAATTTTGCAAAACATGTCCTTCAATAGATGGTATGTTGAGGGCAATATAGCAGTTGGCTTCTCAATGATCCAGAAGAATCTGCTCCAGTGACCAGGAACCAGAACTTCAGACATTCTAATAAGATACGTCCCTTCATATCAAGAGAAAGATGTAAGCCAGTCTAATGTAATTGTACTCATCAACCAAGAATAAAATGCTCCATGTTTAATGAAATGCAATTTTCAAAATGAATAGGAAAAGTAAGGAAATGAACCTAGAAAAAGAAAAATCACCAACTAAGGTAATGGTAAAGCCAGCCTTAGGGAGGTTCAATCAGTCTACTATCTTTCACCACACCTCCCTCCTAACTTGCTAGACCGTTTAGGAACAGAGATCTACACAACCCTGAGAAAGATCTGGTAGTGGGCAGGGCCTATAAAGATCCTACTAAATAAGAGGCAGCCACAGGATTTGAAAGGGTGCTGAAAAGCCTAGAAGCATAGGCACTGTAATATAGCCTTAAAAACTCCTTAACCTCCCTCCCAGTCTGGAGCTATAGAGGAGTTCAACAGTATGAGAACATAATGGGTCACCTGGGACTACAAAATGTAAAGCCACCTGTTGAACTATCATCTCTCTCTCTCTCAGTTGTACCACTGGATCCTCTTCTTCTATTTTCTCCTCTCCCTTTCCCTCATGCTTATTTTCCTATTTTCTCCCTACTTCTAATTTACTCTTTTTTTCACTCTTCTCACTTAAGCTCATATAAATTGTCAGAAAATATTTATTAGTTAATAGATAAATATACATAATATATAAAAATATATTTATATAAAATATAATATAAATATATAACAGATTATAATATTAAAATATATAATACACATTTATTTAGTTTCATTTAGTCAACTGAACTAAATTTAAATTAAGTCTAAAATTTAGTTTAAATTCAAATTTAATTTACCTTAAGTTTAATTCAAATTTAAATTTAGTTTAAATTCTGTTAAATTTTTATTAAACTCAGTTTTTAAAATTCCTGTGCTACATCCTGGAATTTGAAAGAACAAAAAACCTTTTTTCTCTCTCATTATAGTATATATTGTACTCTAAAATCACCAAAGACAATCTAGGAAATTTTAGCTCAGGTCAAATACCTTTCATTTTTACATTTAAATGTAGAGAATTAACAATAATACCAGTAGCCAGAGTTCGAAATTTGGAAAAACAGAACACAAATCAAAGACAATGGATAGCCTAGGAAAAGTAAGTAAGTAAGAAAAATCACAAACTAAGGTAATGGTAAAGCCAATGGTAAAGCCTAATCAAGAAACTGTAAAAAAGGAAGCCTTTGGTCACACACTGTTGGCATAAACCTATAATTCTTGGGAAGAAAAAATTCTTGAATGTCAGGGACACTTGGGGCAGTAGTCTATTGTGTATTTTACCTATGGGGCAGCTAGATGGTTCTATCCCCAGTGGATAGTGAACTGGGCCTAGAGCAGGCCTGCCCAACATGCGGCCCACCAAAGGATTTTGGGTGGCCTGTGAAAAATGGAGAGGAAATCCTTTGGTGGGCTGCAGGTTGTGCAGGCCTGGCCTAGAGTAAGGAAGATCTGAGTCCAGATCTGGTCTCAGATACTTTCTAGCTGTGTAACCCTGGAGACATAATTTTATTTGCCTCAGTTTCCTCATCTGTAAAATGAGCTGGAGAAGAAAATGGCAAACCACTCCAGTATATTTGCCAAGAAAACTCAAATAGGGTCAAGAAGAGCTGGACATGATTGAAACAATTGAGCAACAAATTTTACTTTTAATTGCTAAATGTCTGAAGGAGAAACAACCCCTCTAAACCAGTCTGACATCATAAATTCATACACATCAGAGCTGTCTGCTGTAGCATTTATATACTACCTTTACTCTTGCTCAATTACCCAAATTATAAATGGTTTAAAATACAATGGAGTGATCAATGTAATTGGTTTAAGCAATAAGTTGAAGAGCTGAGCAAAGCTCTCTGGCAAAAAGTAATAAGATTGATGACAGGTAGAACAATATTGTTTCCCTAAAGTTACTAAAGAATGAAAATATCAGCTTTTGTCATTTCAAACCTTCTTAGAAATATAAAATCATAGAATATCAGAGAATTTGGAAGCCATCAAGTCCAATATCTTTACTCTAAGATGCGGATACTGAGGCTAGAGGGGAGAAGGGATTTGCCCAAGGTCATGCAATTAAAGGTCTTGGGTGCAACACAGGTCTCTGGACTCCCAAATCAGTGGCTACCACATCATAGTCCTTCTTGTTTGGAACCTTTTCTTTGGAATTCAAATAAGTAAACATTTATCTGGATTTTGTTCTTACATGAAAAATGTTGAAAAAATTCATTTGAAAAGTGCAAGCCAGCACACATAAATGTAATTCACTGCCTGAGAGGTATTTTCTTTGGGGAAATCTGGAATATACAGCATATAACATAGCCACCAAACTGCATTATTAGTTACACTTTCTAACATCAGTGAAATACTGCTCTGAGTCTGGAAGCATGGATTATTTAGCCAAATAGCAAAATAACAAAGACCCTTACAAATTTAAGACCATGCCAATGAAATTCAATAGAGAAATATTTTTCTAGTAAACTTGAAGATTTACAGGAAAACAGATGATCTTTTAAAACAAATTAGAATGTTTTCTACCTTGTGTTCCTTATAAATGCCAAGTTCCTTCTCTTTTGCTATCCTTGCTTCTTTTTCTAAAAGATGAAAAAAGCAACCAGCATGAATGACAGAATTAGACAATATTTCATAGCATATTTGGAGAGTGACTAGGAATAACTACTTACCCTTTTGTTCTTTTACGTAGTCAGCATGTTCTTTCATCCACAATTCAGCTTTGATTTGTGCTTCGTTTTCATTGAGAATATACTGAGGACAAAATAAAGTCAATTTGTTTCCAACTATTAACTTTTAACAAGCAAATAGAATTTTAACATATCTCAAAACTATAAATAAAATGCATATTTGAATATATCAAGTCATTAAAGGAATGAAATGGGACTGCAACACAAGAGAAAAGTATATCTGGAGTTTATTGGGAAATGTGGACTGAACTTTCATCTTCAAGAACAAAATTGCTAATTTGACACTTTCACATATATTCCCTCCCATACGAAACATATTCCTTCCTATACTAAACCATACGTGGCATTTCTGCAAATCAAGAACAACTGATCTAGGAACAAACTTGGGACTAATGGGGCGTAATGAAAGCTAGAACTAACAAAACCCAAAGAAAACAGAATTTTAACAGACTAATGACCTCACATTTACGAGAATGAAAAAACATATTAGAAACTTTCATGAAACATATGAAAGTATATGTAGGAACAAAACCATCTATCATGAGTACTTTGTTTCAATTTTCTCTTCTTTTTAAAAAAATACTTTATAAAAGAATTTTTATTGAAAACAAAATTAGGGGAAAACAAAAATGTAGAGGAAAATTTCACCATGCATTGTTTAATTAACAATATAAGAGATGATCTGAGGAAGATTTATCTTACATGATTAAATTTGGTTTTGTCAAACATTACTTGGGCAATTAACTTAGAAATATCTTTTTTTTAAAAGCAGATGTTCCCTGAAGTCACATTTCTAATTGTATCTGACCCATCTGATACTAAAAAAAAAATTGTATTTACTACTACTGAACTATATTTCTCAATCCAACCTTTAAAAAATTTTATTCTTGCAATTTTATAATCTCCTACCCATGGTTCCTCACTTGTGACCTTAAATGCTCCAGAGTCCATCCTCCTAGGTAGTATAATAGGGGTTTAGGACAAGGCATTGAAACTTTTTGGTTACCAAGTCAGTGTCACATAACATTGATTGGCATTTCTGAGGCTCTGAGAGTTAATGAGCCTACCTTAGAGCAAGGCATGTCTAGAAGAAGACAGAGTACTACAGTAGTATTCCTGATGCTATGAAAGTAGATGGTATCACAAAAGACCATCATGACAGTCAGTAATCAGAGAAACTACAACAGCCCCCTGGTGTAAACAAGATTCCTAACTTCTCAGTGATGGAAAGTACAGCAAAACAAACTGAATGAACAGATATTACCATGACATTTGATACATGTCCACAAAAATGGACTGAACACATATTACATGGGCAACATACACTATATGCATGTGTCTATGTTATGAAAATGTTTCAAGAATGCTAAACCAAATTAAGTATTTCAAGAACAAAAAAGTAAAAAAAATCTGTAACATATTGAACTCCCACCATGATTGGACTGACATTACCCTAGTGGTCGGTAGCCTTACTTAAAAACCAAGTAAACCTACTGGGAAGATTTGCAAAAAGCATCATTTAGATACAGCACTGTCCTGAGTCTAACAAAAGTAAAAACACCTGAGAAGTATGTCACATATAATTTACAGAAATGAATTAAAAAGCATTTTCTTCTTCCAGGGTAAAGTATAAGAATAGAATAAAAATAGCTTACCCTATCGATTTCACTGTCATCAATTCCATTAAGATCTAATTCACCATCTCCTGAATTTTCATCTAAATAAAGGCAACAGCAACCAATCTCAATTAGGGTTCATGGGTGTTTAAACACAATGTCTCAAGCACTTTAACTTTGAGATTACCTGGAGAATTGTAGGAATGCTAAGTGATTAAATAATTATTTTTTAAAATATAGTATTTCCTTCAAAAATAGCAACCTATGGTATTTTCTTAGCCCTTAAATTGTATATTTATATCTTCCAAGATCATTCTAAAGACAGTCACCCAAATAAGATCTTAGAAGTACATACTCAAGGAAGAGGGGGATAACTGAAGTAGAATCCATTGTAGTAGTCTTCAAATATCTGCATTTAGAGCAACAACATATGTTCACTGGTAACCAAATCAGCTCACTACGCCATAGATTTGATTTTTGTTTAAAAAAAAAAAAAGAGGAATGGTGGGGAGGGGGGGGCAGAGCCAAGATGGCAGAGTAAAAGCACTCACTTGCTTGAGCTCTCATCCAAATACCTGTTAAAAAATGGCTCTAAACAAATTTTAGAGCAGCAGAACTCACAAAAAGGTTGAAACAAATTTCCAGTCCAAGACAAACTGGATGGGTGAATAGAAAGGTCTATCGGGCCTGGCTGGGAGAGGAACACAGTTCGGCGTGAACAGACAGGCAAAACAGGCCTCAGCGGACTGAATCACGGGCAGCTGTGGCGGTTTCCAGACTTCTCACCCCACAAACACCAAGGACAACTTAGAAGGTCAGTAGGAAAAGTCTATGATTGCGGTGAGAGAGAAGCATGGTCCCAGCCTCAGCCCCAGCCCTGGGGTGGTGGCTGCTTCCAGAGCTTACAGCCCACAGACTGAGAAGGAATCGAGTCGCTGATCAGAGGGGGATTGCAGGGTTCTTTGGCTGGTGCTGAGGCAGGATTCTCTTGGTGTGCCTGTGCTTGGATCTGGGTCACAGTTCCGGGTGGCAATCCTGGGGTTAGGAGGAACACTGCTGTGGTGGAGCTTATAGTGGCAGTGCAGAGAAAATCCTCCTCCCAGTTCCAAGGCAGAAAAGAGAGTGCTTGTGATCACTTATAGACCAGAGCAAAGACCAGGAAAGGAGCAAACACCCAGCCCTTCATCATATCACCTTGGGAGAACTGAAAACTTACAGGTCCCTAGAAGTATCTCTGAAAACAGCTGCACAAAACCCCCAAAGCTTGAGACAGTACATTCTCCACACTGGAAGCAGGCCCCTACCTTTACAAAGAGTTCATAACTCAAGGAACTGGCTGGGATCATGAGCAAACAAAGGCACAAAAAAAGTCAGACCACAGAATCTTTTTTTGGTAACAAAGGTCAAAACATACAACCAGAAGAAGACAACAAAGTCAAAGCTCCTACATCCAAAGCCTCCAAGAAAAATATGAATGAGTCCCAGGCCATGGAAGAGCTCAAAAAAGATTTTGAGAAGCAAGTAAGAGAAACAGAGGAAAAACTGGGAAGAGAAATGAGAGTGATGCAAGAAAATCATGAAAAACTAGCCAACAGCTTGCTAAAGAAGACCCAAAAAATACTGAAGAAAATAACACCTTAAAAAATAGCCTAACCCAAATGGCAAAAGAGGTCCAAAAGGCCAATGAGGAGAAGAATGCCTTCAAAAGCAGAATTAGTCAAATGGAAGAGGAAGTCCAAAAACTCACTGAAGAAAATATTTCCCTAAAAATTTGAATGGAGCAATTGGAAACTAATGACTTTATGAGAAATCAAGACACTGTAAAACAAAACCAAAAGAATCAAAAAAATAGAAGACAATGTGAACTATCTCATTGGAAGAACAACTGATTTGGAAAATAGATTCAGGAGAGATAACTTAAAAATTATTGGACTGTCTGAAAGCCACGATCAAAAAAGAGCCTAGACATCATCTTTCAAGAAAGTATCAAAGAAAACTGCCTTGATATTCTAGAACCAGAGAGTAAAATAGAAATTGAAAGAATCTACCGATTACCTCCTGAAAGAGATCCCCAAAGGAAAACTCCCAGGAATACTGTAGTCAAATTCCAGGGTTCCCAGGTCAAGGAGAAAATATTGCAAGCAGCCAGAAAGAAACAATTTAAATATTGTGGAAACACAACCAGGATAACACAAGATTTAGCAGTTTCTACCCTAAGGAACTGCAGGGCTTGGAATATGATATTCTGGAGAGCAAAGGAGATAATATTACAACCAAGAATCACTTACCCAGCAAAACTAAGTATAATCCTTCAGGGGAAAAAAATGGACATTCAGTGCACTCTTGATGAAAAGAGCAGACCTGAACAGAAAATAAGACTTTCAAATACAAGACTCAAGAGAAACATGAAGAGTAAACAGGAAAGAGAAATCATAAGAGACTTATTAAGATTGAATTGTTTACATTCCTGCATGAAAAGATGATATTTGTAACTCATGAGACCTTTGTCAGCATTAAGGTAGTTGAAGGGAAAAATTATATGTATGTATATGTGTGTATATATATATGTGTGTGTGTGTGTGTGTGTGTGTGTGTATATGTGTATATATACATATATACATATATACACACACATATGTATATACTATAGATAGATAGATAGATAGATACCAGATAGATAGATAGATTGATAGATAGAGGGCACAGGGTAAGTTGGAGATGAAGGAGTGATATCTGGAGAATAAAATTAAGGCATAAGAGAGGATTATACTGGAAGAAGGAGAAAGGGAGAGGTAGAAGGGGGTAAATTACCTTACATAAAACAGACAAGAAAAGGCTTTTACAGTGGAGGGGAAGGGGGGAAAGGTGAGAGGGAAAGAGTGAATCTTATTCTCATCGGATGTGGCTTAAGGAGGGAATCACATACACACTCAATTGGGTATGGAAATCTATCTTACCCTACAGGAAAACAAGTGGGAGAAGGGGACAAGAGAGCAAGGTGATGATAGAGGAGAGGGCAGATTGGGGGGAGGGGGTACTAAGGAGGGACAGGGTCAAAAGAGATAATAGAATAAATAGAGGACGGGATAGGATGAAAGGAAATATAGTTAGTTTTCCACAGCATGACTACTATGGAAGCATGACTACACATGTATAACCTGTATCAAACTGCTTGCTTTCTCAAGGAGAGTAGGTGGGGAGGGAGAAAGGGAGAAAATCTGGAACCCAAAGTTTTAAAAACAAATGTTAAAAAGAAATTGCTTTCACATGCAACTGGGAAATGAGATATACAGGCAATGGGATATAGAAATCTATTCTGCCTTATAGGAAAATTGAAGGGGAAGGGGATAAAAGAAGGGCAGAGATAGAAGGGAGGGCAGATTAGGGGAAAGGGTATTCAGAATGCATGTCATTTTAGGGTGGGGGAGGGATGAGATGGGGAGAAAATTTGGAACTCAAAACATTGTGGAAGTGAATGTTGACAACTAAAAATAAATAAATGTTTAAAAAAGAGGAATAATATTTTATAGAATAATGTCCTATGAAGTTTCCAGGACTACTGTTAAAAAATATGAATCTCAGGTCTTACCATAAGATGAGCTATTCTTAAGGTTTCATCAAATTCAATTCATTTCACTTTACTTCAGTCTAATCTGACAATTATTAAATACCTATTGTATTCAATGGAGTAGGTTCTTTTTTTTTTTTTTGGCTAGACAATGGGGTTAAATGACTTGCCCAGGGTCACACAGCTAGTAAGTGTTATGTGTCTGAGACCCAATTTGAACTCAGGTCCTCTATCCACTGCGCCACCTCGCCGTCCCTATGGACTAGGTTCTTAAGGACCCAAACTTTAAATAAGTCTCAGTCTCTGTCCTCATTGAGCTCACAATTTATTAGGAGGCTGTGACATGTAACATACATCAATAAGCACATTAGAGAAGTACAAAACCAATTGCTTTGTAAGGCAGAAGACAGGAAAGGTCATTATCTCCTTGAGAAGGATAAGGGAAGGCAGGTAACACTAGAACTGGGCTTTAAAGGATGGGGAGAAAGTCAATAGGCACAGAGTAAGCTCCTAAATAAGGCTTGTTGGCTGACTTATTGAATGTATATCCACATAGCTATCTCCACATCTCACACTTAACATGTCCAAAACTGAACTAAATCTTTCTCCCTAAATCTATCCATCCTTTGATCTTTCCTATTTCTGTTGATCACAGTACTATCCTCCCAATCACATAGGTTCAAAGTTTTGAGGCCATCAACTCTCCCATCCTCCTGATCCACATGTGTAATTAGTTCCCAAATCCTGGCAAATAAATCTTCACAAAATCTTTCACATTCAACCCCCTCTATCCACTTGTATTGCTACCACCTTTGTCATCACCTCCTTGTCTTAGGTCTCTTACCTTTCCTACCCATTCTTCACACAACTCTCAGAATAATCTTCTTAGATTCACAGACTCTTATAGTTGTATGGGATCTCAGAATCATTCTGACCAAAAATCCCCTCTGTAGCATCAATATGGTCACCTTTGATCAATAGCCTTGAAGAACTCAAGTGAGAGGGAACTCATTACACCTCTTTAGGGTGTCTTTCAATTATGGAGAGCTCTATTAGGTAATTTTCCTCACATCAAGCATGAATCTGTCTTTCTGCAACTTTCACCCCTTGCTCCTAAGGTAAAACAACAAGTTTAATTCCTTTCCCCCAAGAAATACTTGAATACCACTTTTGTGTTCCAATACTTGAGATTTAGTCTAACTGCTATATGGCAGAGTACAGTACACCCTCCAATGAAGGGTGACCTACAATCTTCTAAGATAGGCCATTCTGCTTTTGACAACTAATAATTAGGCAGTTATTCCTGACAGCAAGCCTGAATTTATCTTTTAATGCCACCTACTGCTCCTTCTAAGGCCAAACAGAATCAGGCTAATCCCTTTTCTATATAAAATTCCTTCAAATACTTGAATATAGCTTTCATAGCTTCTGAATCTTCTCTTCTTCAGGCTAAATATACTCTGACTCCTCATATGTTCCATGTATAAGACAAAGGCTCAAGGTCCTTCACCATCTCAGTTGACCTTCTCTGGA